TCCCCCCCCCCCGTAGATGTCAATGTGCTGTACAAAAGAGACTAGTATCATTATTTCCATTTTTAGACATGGGGAAACTGAGGCACAGGACAGGTTGCTCCTTACTCAGTCACATGACAGGCCACTGGCAGAGCCTGGAATTGAACTCAGGCTTCCTGAATCCTAGCCCAGGGTCTTATTTGTTAAGCTACAGAAGTTAAGAAGACTGTTTTGTTTTCATCCCGAATAGTTTCATCTGCTTTTACTTATTATGTTTATTACAGTAGCCCCTACAGCCCATAGAGAACAGGCCCTATAAATAGGTGCCTGTAAATCAAGACTGGGCACTTTTCTAAAAGATACACTTGAGCTCAATCACAGATTATTTTGTTCAATATGGGAATCACAAGGTGATATTTTTTGGATTCTGCCACTATCACGGTCCCTTCGGGAATTGAACTACGAAAATGACTAGCCCAGTGTCATGCAGGAAGTCTGTGGAAGAGCCAGGCTTCAGACCTATGACTTGAGCTCTAGACCTGTGGCTTAACTATCAACAGTCCAGGGTCATCTTTTGCTGGGAAATCAGTTCCTGAATAATGCTAATTATTCTTCTAAGCCTATGCACATTATACATATTTAATTTCTCCCCCAGGATGCCGGAGCGTGAAAGAGATCGACAGGACATTGGTACAAACAACGTCTGCTGTTGCCAAGATTTAGCACAGGAAAGGTGTGGCTCTAGATAAAGCTGCTGCGTTCATTGTGTCCAGATTGTTCTCTTTGGACCTTATCATAAAACTCTTACTTAGGAGACTAGCTCTATTGGTTTATTCGGGGCTATTTCTCAAACTGTTACCGGCACCAGGTCTTGCTCAGTGCCCCGCAGTAGCTCTGTAAGGATCTAAGCATTTTTGAAAATCTGGCCCCTGATGTGAGTAAGGATGGAAAGACTGGACCCTAGGGCTTTGTCTACCCTAAAAGGAAGATCACTTCTGCCGTGATTGATCTTCTGGAGTTTGATTTATTGAGTCTAGTTAAGACTCGCTATATCAGACTCAGAAGGTA